CTATACAATTCAAAATTGGCAAGAACTCCTTAGGGCAAAACACCTTTAATTCTCTTTCCACTGGTTACATTCAAATCAGGGAGTATCAACTGACTGTTATTGGTCTAGGGCAGTGGTGGCAAACCTATGGCATGCAGGCCACAGCGGGCAGGCAGAGCCATCTGTGTCGGCACACGAGTCGAGTCGCCCCAGCATCGCCCCAGCAGCCGAGCATCGGATTACAGCACACATAGGGGCCATGCGCATGCTCGGAAAGGAGTAGCGGCGCCAGCTGATGACATCACAAGCCGTGACTCATCCGAGTTTTTGCATGGTCGGTCAGTGCACTGCCAAGGATGGATGGATGGAGAGGTGTGTGTGTGTGTGTGCGCGTGCGCGCGCGCGCGCGCGCTTGGACTGGATGTGAGTTTTAATACATTCATTTTTATTAAAACAAGATTTTAGCTTTGAGTTTTCTTATGAAAAATTGAAGTTTAATATCTAAGATTTAGCAAAGAGATGTTCTAATTAAGAGACTGAGATTCTTTAAATGTTGTGCAGTCCCCCTGGCATATTTGAGCCAAGGTTTGAGAAATTATCAGCATGCATACAACAGCAAAGATCACATTAATTGTGCAAAAGCACCCCAAATGCAAACTTTTACCATTCAGTAAAAAGCTGTTTGTATCATTGAAAGCTCTGTTATTGTGTTTTTCTTTTAAGACAAAAGATGTTAATGTATGAGTTGTTCTCTCTAAACTAAAACCTCAGTTTTCAGGTTTTATTGCAGTGTTGGCACTTTGTGATAAATAAGTGGGTTTGAAGTTGCAGTTTGGGCACACAGTCTCTAAAAGTTTCGCCATCACTGGTCTAGGGGCAGTTTGGGCAACTTCACAAGGACCCTTTTAACCCTACAGGTGCCAAAAAATAAAATCATTAAAAAAATAACCTGTATTGGCTCTAGAGTACCAAAAGGGTCAGTTTCAGTAAGCTTATGCTGACTCTTTTGAGGCTCTGCAGCCATACAAAAATAACTGAATTTGGTGGCTGGCCAAGAGAATGCATGTTTGGCCTTATTTAACAGGAGCTGCTCATCAGGGCTTCTGAGCACTGAATCCAGAGCTTTGAATCTCCTAAGCCCCTCTTGGTGGTGCACACCAAGGCATTCTAAGGAACTGCAGCATGTTTCCTAGGCAGCATCAGTGCCAACAGGAAACAGAGAGAAGAAAACGAGAAGGGAAAACACTCTGGTGCTTCTTTCTTTAAAAAAAAAAAAACGAGCTGTGATAAAATATTTTGTATACTCAAACATGGTTAGGCTCAGACGTTTTCCTTTTTTCCATAATTCAAACTCAAGTGATTCATAACAGAGTGTCCATGTTGTATAATACTACAAGGGGAAACCAAAACCACAATTAGCAAAATAAACACCATAAAGGCGAACTCATCACATTGTATTTTTCAAGGCTTGTTCATACTCATCAGAAGCAAAAAGAACTAGTTCAAGCAGGCCCAGGACAGCTGTTGGTGTTCTGGTGAGCTCATCTGTTCACTTTTTCTGGTTCTCAATAGATCACATTTCTTCCACAATAAGAAGCATGCCTCTTGTCCAAAGGGAGAATAACTTCTTGAGTATGGTAGTTAGGAGCAAGCTGGATGAGAGCTTTCCCAGAGCCTAGGAATTCTGTTCTGCCGCCACTCATTAGCTGCCCTGTTTTTTCATCTAACCCAGAACAGGCTACTTTGAATGACAAGGATTCTGCTTCCAGGCAGATACGGTTCCCTCACCTGATCCCTCCCTTAAGTGAAATGCAAAGGATGGAACCTAGGACCTTCTCCATGCAAAACTTTGTCCCCCACTCCACATCCCCCTTGATCTCTTTAATTCCAGTGGTTCTCCAGTCATAAGCAAACTTGAAGGTTAAACTTCACCAAGGGACATGCCAAAGCCTCGCCTGTGAGATGCCAGGGGCTTGGGGAAATGAAGCTGCAGGATGAGGCTAGATCACATCCTTCCTGGAAGAGTCTAGCTATAAGTGGTCAAGAAATGCTCACTGTAAGACCTATTTTGTGATGGTGATAAAGAAAAATAACTTGGGTTGTGTCCATTTGGCACCACTGGTTAGATAAGTTGGAGAAAACTGTACTCTTGTCTGCTTGAAAATCACTTTGCAAATATATTGCTTACATTTCCATTGATTTGGATGCCACATTGAGGGCAGTTAAGCCAGTGCATGTTCCTTTGGGGGACCTTAGCTCGGTTGTGGAGCACATGGTTTGAATATAGACATTTTCAAGTTTGCCTCCAAGCATCTTCACGGAGGGCTAAGAAAGAGTTTTGACTCTTCAAGAGGACTACCAGTCATTGCAGACAATGCAGCACTGGGTAGACCCACTGATGTCATGGAAGGCTGCTTCCTATTATCCTCTGAGTTTCACTCTCTACAGCTCAAGGATGTAAACATGGTGCCTGGATAAGTGTGACTATCACCTGCAGGTTTAACCCTTGGCCATTAAACAGTTAATAATATCTGCTTGAAGGATCCCTATTGCCACAGAGGGTAGTCATCAACACTTGGAAGGCTATGCTGGGGGAGAATTAGGGTAGGCGTCGGCCAGCACACCTGATAGGCACCAGGCTGGGGAAGACTGATTTGCAACGTGAAATTATCAGGTACCCCCAGTAAGGAAGATTCACAGCCATAATCAGAAGTGCCGTTAATCGGCTTTGGTTGGTGCACAAGCTCTTTCTTGCCACTGTCTTTCATGGTAATTTTCAGACAAGTCTCCTGCAAAGGGGTACATGTGGGGCTGTCCTTGGAAAGTGGTTGGAAACGATAGCTAATCCAAAATGCAGCAACCAGATTGTGAAGTGGGGATTTCCACAAATAATTCATGGCATCTGTAGGCCCTATAGAGTTGCAGTAGCCTCCAGATGATTTCCAAGCACCATTCAAAGTGGTTTTTATTGCTCTTTAGAAGTAAAGTGGCCTAGGGCCAAGACATCTGCAGAATTGCCTATCCTGATAAGAAAGGGTTGAGATCCACATCAGAGGTCCAAGGCACTAAGTCTTTCTGCTGTTAGAAATGTGGTGGGCAATGGCCAGAAACTTTGGAATTATTTTAAGAGACAATTTACTAGGCCTTCTTTTGCTTAGCAAGTGAAAATCATTAGTGCTTTTGAAGGGAGTGTAGATAAATGGCATTTTGGACCTGCATGCAGTTTTGTATATCTAGACTTTTAACTGAGCATACTTTAATGTTTTATTTTGTTGTTTGGCAAAGTTCTGTGATTACATTGTACATTGGGTGTGTATTAAGGTAGGGGTGGGCAACCTCTGACCTTTCAAATGTTTTGACCAACAAATCCCAGGGACCTGTAGGCCAAAACAGCTGGAAGACTACCAGTTGCCCACCTCTGGTTTAGAGAAAGGGCAGACAACATATAAAACCTCTAAAATAAAACATTTGGGTTTCTACCGTACTGGACAAGCTTAAATGATAGTGGATTGTTGTAATACACACTGGATCTGCTCTGCCCAGTTTATGATTTGGAGGCAATGGCATGAGGACGACATAATAGAAGATATTGTTGCAAGCTTTTTGAGTTAGTGCCGCAAATGTAGCCATCAGCAAACGCTCGGAGGACTTCCAAAAAAGGTCTGTTTCACAATTTCCTCTTTCACAGACAGATGTGAATTTGATGTGCCGTCGCATCACACAGCACCATTATATTAATATTTACCTTTTTGCACTCGCTCACTCTTTAGGAACTGGTCTTGCTGCCAAGTAGAGGTTTCTTCTGTTTAACACTCCGGCTTGCTATATGCTTGCACCTAATTTGCTTTGCAGAGTAACAGCCCATGGGTTTGCCTTATGTTTTTTTTAATGTACATCTGGGCCTGGCTATCAGCTTCCCTGCACATTTTCCTTCTCATTGTACGAAATATTTATTCCACCTATAAAATGGGATTTGGGGTGCCTTCTGCTTCCAGCTTGTTTAAAGGTTAAAATTCCATATGCAGAAAGCTGCCTAGCAATTTTTAAATGCATGATTTCAGCTATCTTAAATCTGTTGCTGAGTAAATCAATGTGATCTCTGACTTGTTCAAACCATATGTTTAAGATTACTTGATTACTATGGTTATTTTTAAATACTGATGCTCTGTAGGCTGGGAAAATATGGCTTGATTTTGTTTTCATGGTGTATTTGCAATTTCAAAGTCAAAATGTGGGAATGATTGAGGAATGGGGGTAACCTATCCAACTTTGCAAGTCTTTAGAAATGGGGATTTTTAGGGGGCATCTAATAAGATATATGTCTCAGTGCAAAACTACCTACTTTCATCCTAACCTCCCCATTTATAAGGGACCTCAAGCTGAGCTTTGACAGCTACCTCTCAAACTTGACATTCTTTTAATAAAGGGAGCCTGGGAAACACTTCAGCCTTTCCCAAATCCTGTAGGATCTCCAGACAAAAGGGAAATGCTGCCTCTCCTTTGGACTCTTGGGGGCTCTGTAGAACATGTTTATCTTGCAGAGAAGAGTGGGAGATTGCCTCCAAGTGCCACCTTCTCAGCAGAAGATCCACCATACTGTTGCTTTCAATGAGCAGATTGCCTTTAGTGAGTTCTCAAGAGAAAGCAAATGGGGTGGGGGAATGGATTTCTAGCTCCTTACTTCATAATATACAGGGTGGGATCCTGCTGTCTGCCCCAACACACACATACATACACAATTATGATTTTAACATATAGGAAACAGGTGAATCTGAAAAAGCTAAGATCCCCCCTTTTTTCTCCCATATGTTATAGGGCTATAGGAGTGTAAAAGCCAGCCCTTTGTATTCTTATTTTCAGGAATTCCTTATAAAGACATTTCATTTCATTAAACAGGAATATTATTAATGAGGATTATCTTTCTTTCCAGAAACGATACTATTTGTGGCAGGGGGGATGTGAGAAATGGAATAAGGAGTTAAATAACATATATGTCTTTGTCTGGATTTGTTCCCTTGCAGATATTTATAGACAATGAATGGCATGATTCAGCTAGTGGCAAAAAATTCCCTGTCCTTAACCCCGCAACTGGAGAGAAAATTTGTGACGTGGAGGAAGGTGATAAGGTATGGTTTTCAGTCCTTGCCATGCTCTGTATGCTCTCCTTGGTTCTCGGCCTTGTCTCCATTCCCTGAGGCCATTCTCTTACTGGAGGGCATGTCGTGGTGGAGCCGGCTGGTGCCGGAGGTCAGACTAGATGGCCTGGGAGGTCCCTTCTGACTCACTCTGTTTCTATGTTTCTATGAGATGCAGTTGGTAGCCTGAGGGTCAGGAAGAAGAGTTCAGCTGGCTCTAAATGGAGAAATCCTGGCTTGATTACCCAGTATGGGATCCCAGCTAACTGGAAAGACTGGCTTGTCATTGAAACAACCGCGAAGTGGGGAAGAGTTCTACATCTGAAGGAGACGGATGTTGAGCATGATCCTTTTGGAAGCATGATCCTTGTGATCAAGCCAAATGTGCCTTTAGAAAAACTCTTAAGATTTTTTGACAACTTGCAAAAGAAGCTGACAGGACTGATTAGCCAGCATCTCTGATATTGCACAGCTACCACACCTCAAATCCAGGAGTACTTTTTAAAGAGGACAATGAATAAATATTCAGCTCCTTTCACCACCAGCTTCTCTCCGTATATGTATATGTATATGGAGGTGGGCCTGGTGATTGCACAGTCTTGAAATAAATAGTGCAACTGATTAAGAAACATCAAGGATACTCAGAGTGGCTTCTACTTTGAGCAGTTTCTTTGTGTACAAGAGATTAAGACATCCAGTGCCAGGCCTTTTTTCTGTTTAGCATTTGTTCTTCAAACTATCATGGGTTGACAATTGCTATAAACTAAATAGTCCACTGAAATGCACAAATCCAGGGAATTAAGCAAGCAATTGGACTCTTCAGAGCTAGTATTTAGCTGGTGAGCTACGAGATGTTAGGACTTCAATCAGTATATATAATACAACTAACAAAGGAGTGTACTTTGCTTTTTTTAAAAAAAATGGTTTGCTCAGAAAATCAGGAGGGCATTACAAATCAAAGACCTACATGGGAGTGGAAATAATATCCTTTTAGTTAGATTATTCATTCAGGCTGCACTCACTAAACCCAGGCAGCCTAAAACATGATTGCATTTTCAACTTAGTCCGTGGAATGTGAAGTAAAATGCATTTACACTGCCATGCTGCCTACTGCAATCCTGTCCAACATAAATCCAATTGAGCCTCAAACTGCAATCCTATAGACACTCTCCTGAGAATAAATCAACTGGATTCAATTGGACTTCGACACAGATCTGCATTGTATTACATTATTGTTGTAATCGTCTTTAAAGTGCCAGTAAATCTGGAAGAGTAAACTACTATTCCATGTTTAACACTGTGGGGTTTAAAGAGCATTCCTCGTTTTTGCTGACTAGATGTAATTTTATTTATTATACTTCATTATTAATTCTCATATTTCTGTACAGCCTTAGAGACTAAACTCTTCGGATAATTTACAATTTTTGCTTCAGGTATTATTATTATTATTATTATTATTATTATTATTATTATTATTATTATTATAACATTTCTATGGCTTCTAACTACGAGGAAGGCAAATTTGTTATCTCCAAGATCTGATTTGAGTGCTTTGCATGTATCCTCCATGAGAATATAGCTTTTCCAAAATATGGAAATAAGTTTTGCCTGTGTGCATTGGATCACAGTTCTTAGCAGGTGTGTTATACCCACACTAGCGGGAGGAAGAAGTGGGAGTATACCAATAAACATTAGAAGCCAAAAATGGGGCTTGTTTGGAGCTAGGGTCTGAAGCCCCCAGAGCTGACCTCCCCAACCTGGAACTCTCCAGAGGTGTGGGACTACAGCTCCCATAATTCCAAGCCAGTGTGGCCATTGGCAGTAGCACCCCAGGCCAGGAAGGCTGCACTAGAATGCATGACCTAAAGATACATGCGAGTGACTAATGCGATTCAAACGAAATAAATATGCCATCCTATACTTATTTAAATATGTTCTCTGTACAGGAAGATGTCGACAAAGCTGTCAAAGCAGCGAGAAAAGCTTTCGAGTTTGGTTCCCGTTGGCGAACAATGGATGCTTCAGTAAGAGGAAGGCTATTGAACAAACTGGCTGATTTAATCGAGAGGGATCGCCTCCTGTTAGCTGTAAGTCCAAATGTTGCCCTGGCCACATTTTAAGCAATCCACGTCATTAGAATCCAGTTTCTCAGAGCACATTTGAGAATTTGCATGGGTGCAACACAAAACGGGTTTTGAGTGAGATAAAGGAAAAAGAACGCTCGTTTTGTAAGCCGTCCCAAGATGCCGAGGCATGTGGTGACGGCATATAAAAGTTTTAAAGAAATAAATAATTTTAAGAAGCTCATAGTTGTACTGAACACACCATTTCATTCTCATGAAGAGTGGTCTGTTGCATTCAGTTTGATTTGTTGTTGTTGTTAGTCGCAAAGTCTTGTCCGACCCGTCGCGACCCCATGGACAACATTCCTCCAGGCCTTCCTGTCCTCCACCATCCCCCAGAGTCCACCTAAGCTCACGCCGACTGCTTCCGTGACTCCATCTAGCCTCCTCAGCCTCTGCCGTGCTCTTCTTTTGCCATGTATTGTTCCCAGCATCAGGCTCTTCTCCAGGGAGTCCTTCCTTCTCATTAGGTGGCCAAAGTAATGAGAAGGAAGGACTCCCTGGAGAAGAGCCTAATGCTGGGAATAATAGATGGAAAAAGAAGAAGGGGACGGCAGAGAATGAGGTGGCTAGATGATATTAGGTTTAAATTAATGTCCCTATTTCTGTGGTTAGGCAGACTGCAAATTTTGCCATAACTAAAGCTCCCACAATCCCTTTGAGAACAAAATTGCACTAAGCAAATATGCCTACTACCAACTGCCTCTCCACTGACTTCTACATCCCAGGTGGCATTTCTCTGACATCTTGAATATTTTTGTATCCTCTTGCCTGGGGTACGCCACCTGCTGCCTTCAGTTGCTTTGAATGATGCCTCGCACAATCTGATGGGGGGTGTAGCTCAAAACATCTCAAGGGCTTCAAGTCGCCTACCCTTGTTCTAGATCAATCATGTGCACACACATATATACAAGAAAATGGAAAATATTTGGTTTTGATGTCAGCATTACGAAGATGCTGCAGGCCCCCAGATGCATCTGGAGAAAGCTGGGTTTTCCTTGTTCAGTTGCTCCTTGCATCTGGTGATCAGTGGCATGGCATACAATTCAGCTGCTAAATCTTTATGTGTTTTCGCTCCTTTTTGAAAAAACACCAACAATAATTCCTAGCATGTTTATTGTCTAAATATTAACTGAAAAACATTTGCCCCTGCAACCTAACTGAGATTATCATCTCCCAAACAAGGAGAAAATTGCCGAAATAGAATGAGCTCATTGGCTTATCTCAGATAATGTGGATGTATTTGCCTGAGATGGAAGAATTGAAATAAATGTGGAAACTAACCAAGAGACGTTAATACTTTCTTAAATGCTCTTTGCTTAGCCAACAGAAACAAATCTACTCTTAGGCTGGAATAGATTTATTTTTCCATAAAGACATACCTTACAAAGTAAGATTCCTTCAGGCAGGCCTCTCTTGAAGTGGCACTTCTGCACTTCAAAGAATGCAAGAAGAAAACTTGCTATCAAAGGTGCTGATGAAAAGATACGGATTAATGAATCTTATGTGTTTCTGAATTAGGATCTCCTTCGTCAGGCAATCTTACAAGCCCAAATTCTAGGAACAGGCCAAGCCAGCTTCCAAAGATAATGGCAATCTCTCTTAAACTATCAGGTACTCTCTCCAGGGTGCATTTGATGCACCTGGGGTGGGCTGGGGTTTAAGCTTTAGAGTTCCAGCATCAGAGTTCCAGGACTTTGATGCTGAGACTCCAAAAGATCTCCCATTCTCCCTCTGGACAATGTTGGGAGGCCGTGGGACTCAGCCCTTAGTGACGTGTGCCAGTTCTCTGTAGCAACTTTTTTCATCATCAAACATACATTTCTTGAATGGGTTGCCCTTAATTTTGAAATGTTTACTCATCAGCATTTTGGAGGGATGTTTTATGGATCCCTATGTCATAGCCAACTCATCTTCAGCAGTTCAAGACTGGTATGAATGTTGTGAATATTTTCAAGCAAATGAGTTAGGGATAATGTCTGTTTCATTCACTTTATTACCTGCAATTAAAAAATTGTCTGTCACTGTACATGTCATTCCTCCCAAATTTCAACAGCATCAGCAAAAAAACTGGAGTTTCCCTGCACTTTACCCAAGGCTAGGGAAACGGGCTTCAAAACAGTCAGCAGCATTTCATGTTCCTCTCAAGCCCAGCACTGAGAACTTTAGTTGTCACTGTGTCATCTATTTTTTTCAGCTGTTTGTTCACAACTTGCCATCCAATTAGGCCAATTCCAGATAGAATGCTTAAAACAGTCCAGTATTGAGTTCCATCATATGTCCTGTGGGAAAGTGAGCTCAGTTCCTCCCACGTTCTTCAGATCAGCTGTGCAACATAGTTATTTCAGAAGTATTTTGCAGTTCCACAACATTAGCCTTTATTTCTGGAGCATGGAGTTCTTTGGCAGTCCTACACTGCACTTCACTTCTTTCTAGATTACTTTTCATCTTGGCTACATTTGCAGCATTATCTTCGACCAAACTGCATATTAGACATTTAATTTTTTTTCTCATGGTTTGCTGTAGCTTTTTTTTTTTTTTGCTACTTCTTGTACATGTTGTTCTGTGGATGCATTTCCAGATGCATCAGTTGTTTCCACAAGGAAGGCAGCCCCTTCTTCTTTTGTCATACAAGCACATACAATGGATTGATTGTGGACCTTGATCCAACCATCAAGACTCAGACTATTTTCCTCTCCTGACTACTTCTATACTGCTCAGTTTCTGTCACATAAATTCAGAGGGTTATAGGCGTCCCCACTGGTGCCTTAAAGAAATCGGCATCATTTGAGGAAACTATTGAGAGCAATCCTGAAGATTTTAATAAGGCTTATTTCCAACTTTAAATCATGTTAGGCGAAAAAAGTCTCCAGGATTGGAATAACTTCAGTCAGAGTTGGAAAATGGAGCTGATCAGATCTGTTATTTTTCATGTCCATGTACTGCTGTTAACATTTACGTATCTCTGGAGACACAAGCTGAGTTTGAGGATGCAACATTTTATGATGGTAACTTCTGGACTGAGCATTTGACCAAGTGCTAGAGAGAGAAGAAGATTAAATAATCTATATGGAAGCCCATAAAATTGAAGCCCAAATCCAAGACTATTTACATTTTTTAATCATATATATGTGTGTGTGTACATTTTCTCATAATACAGATTAAGAATTTAGAATCCCTATTCCATAATTACATCTTTGAACTATAATACATTCTAAATTAAAGCTATAAACATGCAGGACTTTTTGTTAGCAAAAGCTTTTTAACAGTAAATTTTTAAACAATTAAAAATAAAACATGCTTAGGTATCCTGCTTCTAGTTCAAGACTGAACTGAATACTTAGGCCGGGAGAAGAGAACAGAATTAAAACTATGTATAAAACATTGAACTATTGTTTTATCCAGATTCAGGATGGGGTTGAGCAGGGGATTATTTTCATGCTTTGTTTAGTTGTTTCCTTTTAAAATAGAACGTTCATTTTGTGAGGAGCCCTAAACATCTGAGAAGGTAACTTATCAGAAAGCTGGGTCTGAAGTTCCTCACACCTGTTATTCACTAACCAGTTACTTTTGCCACTTTGAATGAGTGATGGAGCAGGCCATCCCTTTATAGAGTTGCATGGAATGTCATTGCAATCTTGGTGGCATTTCACCAATATAACCACTTCCATCACTGCAACTGGAGGTGGGAGAGACTCCGGCTTCTTGTGCACCCTTGAAATCTGCTCTGGAGGGCTGGGAAAATATCTTGGAGAAGATTTTTCGGCAGCACAGGAGGACACAATACTGTAATGGAGCAGGAGAGGAAAAGGACATCAGATGTAGCCCATGCTGCTCTAGACCTTCTGCGGAGGGCAGTCCTACCTACCTCACCTGATGTGGTTCCGCTTTGCCATAATCATGGCATTCCCAGAGCACAGGGGTGTAATTGGCATTGTTCTTAAGGGCTTGTGGTTGTAGAAAGCAATTTAGGTAGAATGATTACTTTCTTTCCCTCTTTTGCTCTAGACGATGGAAAGCATTAATGGAGGAAAGCTTTTTGCCAACTCCTACCTGATGGACCTAGGTGGCTGTATCAACACTTTACGCTACTGTGCAGGCTGGGCTGATAAAATCCAAGGACGGACTATCCCAATGGGTAAGTCATTCCAACCAAATCATTTTTGAGCAGAGAGAGGATTTGGATTTAAATTTAAGAAAGTTTCTTCAGCCAAAAAAGTTTGACACCTGGGAAGTATGTAACCTTTAGACATGTAAATGTGGGATGGTTGAAGGCTCATTTTCTCCCAGTTGCTTCTTAATTCAGGGGCTTTTTAAATCACTCACTCGTTTATGTGAAGCTCTTGCAGTTATGCATATTGGCAAAGTTGCATTATAAAGACAGTTAAAAAGCAGCATCAGTGACCTTAACCTCACTTGTCTTCTTTTCTCTTTGTTTGGAAACATCTAGAAGTATCTAATCCTTCTGTTATATTTGCCAAGCCTTGTTGTTTCAGTGTGGCTGGGTTTCACTAGATGGAAAGGTAGCCTTCTCTTCCACCAACCCTGCATGGGCTCACCCTTTCAGACATGGAGTTCAGCCATGAGAGCCTGTGAAACAGAAGCACAACTTATATGCTAGTCTTGAAATATAAAGGAAGCAGGTCTGCAGAACCTCAACCCGATCACACACCTGGAGTAAGGAGCAAATAAAGAGGCTCTAATTTCTAGGAGCTTTGAGCCCTAACATGTGCATTTTGGTGTTTTAGGTGATTCTAAGCAGATTCTGTATTCATTCATATCTTAAATCACTTTACAATATTTCTACATTTGTAATATGTTAAACAAACATTATAACAAGTAATGAATCACAAAACTAGGATTAAATTATCACAAACTCCTATGTTCCAGCTATATTTTCATCAATTACTCTTCTGGCTGCTACTTGAAAATGTGTAATGCACTTTCTGCCTCTTAGACCTGCACTTATCCTGCAAAAGCATAGCAAAACCAGATGTCTGTACCCTCTTATGTGCTATATAAATGACACTTTTCTAAAATCTTTCCAAATCCTTGGATCCATCCACTGCAGGAAGGATAATGTGTGTTACTCAAACAGCAGCCCATGTGATGCTCCATTACCTTCATAGAACAACCCTTTGGAGAGTGATCTAACCCTCACCCCACAACTAAGGGCAGTTACACTCTGTATGAAGCTGACAGTTTAATGGTGAATGGAGAAAAAAAGACCAAAGGGAGGAGATTTCAGCAGGTCCACATTTTCAGACCCCTGCAGAGTATTGTTTCAGACAGCTTGGTTATATAGGCAAATACTTATGCCTGGCTGCCCACCACCTCCTCCTCCCATCAGTCATGTTTTTTCCTTTTTGCTGTGGCCTGGTTGCCTTGTACCTTAACTCCATGCCCCACCTCCCTTTAAAGCAAAACAAAGGAAAACAAAGTTTCTACAGCAGTTTAAACAAACACAAACAAACCTGGCAGCTTTGTACTATGGCGAAATTTAAGTCTTCTGTTTAATTCTTAAAAGTACAGGAGTTCTAACATGGATAGACTGGCTGTGTCTGTCTTCCAAGTTTTAAATACTGAATCTAGGTATATTTACCTCTTCTTTTCACTGAACACAGTACAATAGCATCAGAACATATTTTATTTCACTCTTGCTGTATCTTGCTGATATGTTCTTTTTCTCTTGACTAGATGGAAACTATTTCACATTTACAAGACACGAGCCTGTTGGCGTCTGTGGCCAAATTATTCCCGTAAGTTGGATCAATGTACATAATAGATAAAATGGGTTGCATCCAGGCATTGCCTTCCGCAAATGGGAAGAGGTACTTCTGTCCACAGGCTTTTTGCGCTAGTGGAGGCTTCTGCAAACAGAAAGGGCGATGTGATGTTTGCATTCTCTCTCTGCCTGCAGCCGTCCACACCAGCTCCCACGCTTGTCCTAGAGGGTTTTAGCAGCCATGAAAGGCTATCCCAGAAGCCCCCAATAGCGCAAAATCCTGTCTGCACACAGGATAATGTTGGATTTTTACTTTATTTAACTGACATTATCCTCAACAGTATTTGCAAGTGCTTTTGGGTCAGGAATGGACAGATCAGTCTATTTCCAGTCAACTTCTCATCTGTTCATTTCCGAGTCTGGGAGATGCAGTTCAGTTCAGTTCAGTTCAGTTCATGCAAAACTCACAAGAAGAATAAATCCCTGAAGCTTCTCTGTATGTTTCATCCAGAACTGTTTAACAGTTTCAGTGAAAGAAATACTTCAAAACCAGTATTATAAGGGAAGCCACCAGAACAGTGAGAAGCAAGAATATGAGGACTATGGTACATATGGTGTGGCAGATCAGTGTTTAGATCTCCTGATGTTTTTTAAACAGAAATATTTCTGATTTAGATAGAGAAAACTAGGAACAGATGTGAATGTCATCTGTTCCTGCTGCTGCAAGCAAATTCATCACGCCTCCTTCTTCCAGTTTCTGCATTTGAGTTCCTTAATTATCTTGAAAATTCAGCTGTATTTTTTTTTCTGTGAGGCTGTAAGGCAGAAGAAAATGGAGGCAACAGAGACAAATAGCAGCCTGCATTGAGGCGCCAATCTCAGCCCTTACATGGGTTTAGAAAATGGCCAGTGCGGAAGATTGCATTTTTTCCATAGTTGCCTTCAAAGCATATAAACAGAATGCATCTTCTGTCTAGAAAGCTGTGCAAAAGCACACATGTTCTGCCTGCCTTCTCCTACCTGATTTTCCTTGTTAAGATATCCAAGGATTGATTCACATGACCACACGAATCATAAAATTGCCTACAGCAGCCTGATGGACACTGGGCTGAAGGAAGCAGCTGTCAGGAAAAGCTTCTTCCCGGCACCTCAGTGCTGGAGGCATCCATGGAGACTTATCACTTGATACCCTTGAGGGTTACGCTAAGGGGCAGGGGCTGGGTAGGTGAAGTTCTTAAGGCCCAGCTCTGGCCTCAGCTGAATGCTGTGGCTGCTGCTCCTGGAGATGGCCTCTTTTGAGCAGATTTGGAGGCCAAGATACAAAGGAGCCTTTTCCAAAGATGTGTGTAGGCACACATGTACAGCCTGAATGCCCAACACTCCCAGTAGTTCTGTTAATCTGTCCTAAGGGGTTTTTATTCAGTATAATTACAGCCCTGCTGAAAGCTAAACAACCAACATGTAGACAATTCTCTCTAAATACCTGTGAAGCTTCGAAGGGTCAGGCCTTTTGCACCGTGAGCACTTCGGCCTCTCATGCCTGTTGCAGCTCAGCAGAGCACTTACTTCCAAGGCCTGTGAGAAGGAGACAGAGTCAGCCTTTGGTAGCCTCTGAAGAAGAGCCAGAAGGGAACTTCCTAGGCTGTAGCCATCAAAGTGATCTCAAAGAAACTGTGGCAAGTGTTTCTTCAATTCCTGCAGGATAAGGGCTGCTTTGTAAAGGGATCTTATTAGTCCAATCAACATAATTACACTTCAGCTCAGATTTTGCTTCAGGGCTTGGAGAGAATGAGTTTATTCTCCTCAGAGCAGCTGGAAGGGCAGGTCTGGAGAGCAGATGTCAATGTTTTGGGTGGGCGCCATGGTCTGCCCAGCAGCTGTCCCTGGGAAACAGGTACCATCTTCGTGGCCATTGTCACACAGAGAGCAGAAAGCCTTTCATGAAGATCTTACAGACCACAATGGCATTGTCATCATCCAGTCCCAAAATAAGCCCCACGCTGTCATGCTGCAAGGACCATGACTAATACAGGCACCACTGAGTGACCCACACCCAGCGTCTGCCTATGGGTTGGGTGTAGGATGTTGTTGTACCATGGGTTATTGTTGGTTGTGGATTATTGTACTCTCTGAACAAACTCTGGCGAACAATCCAGGGTTCACCATCCAACAACAACCTATGGGTTATCTTCATAGGTTGTTCATAGTTAACAATTCATGGCTTGTTAATCAGCTGGTTTCAGACAGCATAACAACACATAATTCAACAAAAACCCACATTTGACAGATATTCAGCCCTTGAATGAGGGTTACTGCATTGTCCACACCAATTCAGTGTGATTGCTTACGTACACTGACATCGCATTAGCCAAAACCTCAATCCTGTATCAGTGGGTATTGCAGAGTCATGCTTGAAAATATATTTATTTGTTTGTTTATTTCTGAATTGTTTGTTCACTCAGTGAGTGCTTGAAACAATTTACAACAAAACCATAAACACAATAAAATGCAAGCAGTCCAAACATAAAGCCAGAACAAAACAGATGAGATACATAACACTAAAACAGGAAAACCTGCTAATAGCAAAGAACAACTTTAATCAATAAAATCTCAGTGAAACAATATTTAACAGGGAAGTTAATCCTGTATAAGAAATGGCATTGGAAGACAATTGTATTTCAGTTGACCTGGCACAAACTGGCCCATGCTGTATCTTTTGGTAGAGATCTTATGACTTAAAGGTCTAAATAACTAGCAGGTGTTTTATCTCATCAAACGTATATGCTTGCCAAAAGAATGTGCTGTTTTGGAATGTGGGAGGATCCCCAAGACATAATGAAGCTTCCCATTCCCCTTCCTTTCTCTTAAGGGAGGCACAGGATGGTACAGCTCAGGCTGCTAGTCATGAATATCTGCCAACAGGCTGATAAGCTGGCCTTTGCAAGCAGATGTGTTTAATTGTGAGACCAACTCAACCCTCAGAGGTTGCAAGTATGTAAGTCCTGAGACTGTGATAGGTCAGGAACCTCGACACAACCTGTGCTGGCCATCTTCAGGTGACCCTCTATCGCTGCTATTCTGAGGTGCCCAGCAAAGGCTCCCCTATCCGGGTTTTCCCCGCCGTCACCTTTCCTGTGGGCGGGATACACAATAGGGCCTCAGAGGAAGAACATGCAGCTCTGGATAGGTTCATGTGGGAGGAGATGGGCTTTGAAATAGCTGGCTCCAAGCTGTCTCTTTTATAAATAAGGAGCAGCATGTTGCTTTGGGCCCAGAAACAAATCGGAAGCTTCCAAAGCTCTCTGAGTATTGTTAAATCATCTGCAACAAGTACTCCAGAAAAAATCAGACTGCTGTGTTCTGTACTAGCTGTAGTTTCTGAACACCTTGCAAGGGTAGCCCTCACAGAATCCTTCCGGGAAATGTTCAGGCACAAATCGCATGTGACTTGCCCATGTTCTACAGACCATGAGAAATTGTGTTTTAGAGAATGGCCAAATATTGATCTCTTGGCTGCTATTTTTTCACAACCTTTTAGTGGAACTTCCCGCTGGTTATGTTCATTTGGAAGATTGCCCCAGCTCTGTGCTGTGGAAACACAGTGGTGGTCAAACCGGCAGAGCAAACTCCACTGACTGCTCTTCATATGGGTTCGCTAATTAAAGAGGTGAGTTGCCATTCCAAGAAGGGGCATTCATGTCAGTGATCACTTACCTTTACGTTGCAGTGCTTCTAAACAATCAGGGCTAGTCTGCTTTGTGTCAGTACAGCTTCCAGCATGTCTAGCCTTGTCTTGGGGAACTGTGATGTACTGCAAACCACTGAAGCAAATCAAGGGCAAGAACCTCACATAGTTTTCCAGCCTAAATTGCTCAGAAAACAAATCATTAGCAGCTTAGTAAACCCAACATCTTGGCAAGCACTGTGCCTTCTGGAGGCAAAAGCAAACAAGAGCTCGGAAAAAGCAAAGTGTTTGGTAATGGGAGTGGGAAGGCTGGTTTGGTTTGTCCCAAGAGCATCTCAGTAATGAAACTCTGTAAGGTGAATTGCTATCTTAATTTTTGGACGGAACTATTTGCTCTGAACATGGATTTGAGCAGGGCTGGGTTCGATGCACCCAGGATAAATATATGTGGTAAGGCTGTCATTTATAGCATCTGAAAATGTATCTCATTCAAATCAATAGGATGGAAAGATGTACAAATGCCACAAACTGAGATGTTATAGGCAGAGAATGGTCATCATTCAGTGGTGCTTTGCATGAAAAGTTCCCAGATTCAATCTCTTGCATCATCAACTGGAGCTACAGCAAACAAATCTTTTCTGGGAATTTGGTATACTGAATCTATATGGTTAGTATAGAACTGCATAGTAATATGGTATATAAGTGTAGAACAAGAGTTGTCAGAAGGTATATCTCCAGATGTTTTGGATTCCAACATCTCCCAGAAGCTCTTGCCTACTTGACCAGTGACCAGGGATGCTGCCACTTGAACACTCCTGGAGATCTATTTTCTCTCCACCCCTGGTGTAGAAGACCACTGGTATTCTGATCTATTTTAGAAACTGCGGGTGGAATATCATTTCAATTTCCCTTTAAGTAGATTTGCTAGGAAGGTTTTCGAGTGTTTTCTAAATGGAATATCATTCAAAAATAAGATTTTAATCTGCATTCCAAACTGTTAAAGATCATCTACCACCTTAATACTCTACACCAGAGTTGGGAACTCTGTGGGCCTCCAGAGGTTGTTGGACTGTAATTGGACTAGCCACCATAACTAATCATGAGAGTTTATAGGCTTTATATTCCAACATCTGGAGAGCCACACCTTCCCTACTTGTGTAAATCAGGCCTTACCTCCCAGTAAACTTGGTTAGGACTGGTGCGTGAACATAAAGTGTATGGGCATTTGCAGCATTTTCCAGAGCAATGGCAGTTTCTGCGCAAGCTATAGAATGATTGTATGTGTTTCCTGAGAAGATGATTAAGCGATACAGCATGGGCACCGGAGAAGACAATGGACATTCAGTCTGCCATGTTTCTTTGTATCCAAAAGGATGGGAAATGGAAAGTAATCATGGCTGTGAAAAAAGTTGATCCTTCTTCGCAGTACAGTATCCAGGCAGAGTAGTAACAAAAGTGACTCAGCTAATCTTGCCCTTATGTAACAACAACTCATCAAAAGCAAGCAAACGTGAAAATCTATTTGCGCTTAAATGGTTAGAGATCAAAAAGTAGCACCAATCCAAGTGTCTCACATGAATGAGAATTCAAATGCATGTTTTAACATGCATATGAATTTTAAATATTTTGTAAACAATATATTTTAAATATCTCTCTCATATTCAGTTTTGAATATGAGAGAGAGAGCAACAGGCAGTCTCTTCAGGTCAGGTTGTAAACAAGCCCATCCATCCAACTTCCTCCTATGGGTCTGGCAGACAATCCTATGATAAAGAAACTGGAACTCTCTACTTCTCTCTCTAATTATAATATTTAGTAGTTTTGGTCAGAGGAGCCCTTCTGCTGAGGCATAAAATATGCATAAACTATGCAGTATTGCAATATTTCTCCAACTGTGGGGCAAGCAAGATAACTCAAGCGACAGGGAAGCGGAGTGGACAGATCCAGAATCCTTCAAAGAACAGAGGTTTCTCTTTGCAGGACTGCTATGCTATTTACAACACTCCTGTACTAACCAAGAAAGCCACAGAGTGACAGGAATATGTGGGAATGTCTGACTTTGCTGCTGCTTCCCTCATCTTCTCACCATCTGTCTATTATCTGCAATGCCTTGTTCTAGTTTCTCTCTCTAATGCTATGCTTGGGTTAGGGATCTAATGTGCACATTCTTAAACACGGCCCCATGAGTTTAAACTAAGGGTTCAGAACCTGATGCCCACAGACCAAATCTGGTCCTCTGAGATTTCCTACGTAAGCATATCCCCTTTTCCCTGGCCATCCTCTCTCTGGCAGTTTTCTGGCTTTTGTGCAGATTCCCCCTCTAGCCACACCCAACCCATACTTTAAAAGGCTGAAATAACTCTGGTGTGGGTTAGTTACCAGCTGTAAGAATTTAAGCCAATATATACTGGTATCTTTAGCCCTACTTTCTCATAGAATAGTAGAGTAGGAAAGTGCCAAGGCCATTGGGTCCAACCCCTGCCATGGCAGGTCACCAATTTACACCATCCTACCCGAGTTGCACCATCCTGAGCCCTCGGCTCCATGCATCTCCAGAATATAGCCTGCAATAATTTTTCTGAAATGGAATTCAGTCCTTGGGCTCTAAGAGGTTCAACATCCCTGGTTTACACTGATCTGCTATGCTCCAGTTTAACAGGTTTGCGAATCAGCCTGCTAGAACTATACTGTTCTAGCTCTCGATGCTGCCCAAGTGTCCTTTCAGACTTGGTGAACTTCAAAACTGGTTTTACTTTCCCAGCTTTGCCCACCACCAGCTGGTCACCATGGCCATCTCTTCAGAAGCAAATGAACAAGATTCCCATTGTGCTGCTGTGTAGCTCACTGTTGGTGAGAGGCCGAGAGAGAATGCAACCACCAACGGAAAAGCATAAGAGCAGTCAGCAGCCGGACATTTCAGATCATCACTGCCGGGCAGATTCACAAACAAGTTAAACTGCTTGGCTTTATTTACCAAATTTATCTTATACCCATGGAGTCAGTCATCTTAAAGCAAAGTTCTTTGGCATAATTGATTTGTCCATGGGGCTGCATTAAATGGAATCGGAATTAAGACTACTGGATGCCAGTGTTATATTCTATCAATAAAGCAGCCTGAAATTGTAAATAGGTGGGAGCTTTCATCGCAGGCTACATGCTGAGAAGGAGACAGACTGCCTTATAAGGCAAACTGACTAGCAGTTCTCCTGTGGAATCGCTACTCTTGGAGTTGACAACAGCACCACTTTCGAGCCTAATTCATATGCAATTGTTGCACCAGCATGACAACCTTTGCTGTGTAGACCTGTCCTGTGCCAATAAGATAGAATTTCTGTGCATTGGGAATCCAACAGGCAGAGCAGCCAAATGATGCAGTTATTTCCAGGTGTTGCCCCCCCACCTTTGCAAGATGTGAATGCAAGAGGTGCCCCATTTCTTGTGGGTCCTATTTAGAGATGTCATTGCTGCAGTTTGCTGTGTGTGATTAAATAAGGGAAACTGTGTACATTGCCCCTGAGCTGCTTTTAAAAATGAAGGGAGGAAAATGCAAAGAATACAAGAGTCCTAATTGCATGATTGAAGAGTAAAAGGGTGTTCCTTTCCCTCTGCTCTTCAGGCAGGATTTCCACCTGGAGTAGTGAATATCGTACCAGGGTACGGACCCACTGCGGGAGCAGCCATCTCAAATCACATGGACATAGATAAAGTGGCATTCACCGGCTCCACAGAGGTATTTCCCTAACACTGCAGACAGCTGTAAACAGAATGTCCCTGAGCTCCCAGTTCTGACAAATGATTTAGCATCTGACTTGCTTTGTATAACCGTGTTAACTTTTTCATGCTGCGAACTCGTTAAACAATGTCATCTTGATGATTTGTTGATTGTTAATAGCTACCTTAAAAATGTCCATGGGTTGCATGAATTGAATGAATATCCCTTCAAACAAAAGAATTTCAGGAAATAAAACTGATTTTCAGTGGTAGCAACACTGAGGACTTCCAAGACTATGGGAAGGCCAGAAGATTGCATTTCAAGTTAGTGTCGCAGGTCTCCCTGCGTAATGTATAACAAATGTCTCAATTTCTATTTTTTAAAGACTTCATTGCATACCATATTATATATGCACCATACTTCATACCAAATAGTAGTAAATGTAATAGTACACTATATAAATTTTGGCATTTCTATTCATATCTCATTCAGCTGCGTGTTCACACAAAAGGTCCATTGCCTAGAAATCTTGCATCCTACAAAGAGAAGTGGCATGTCCTTCTGTCCCCATATTTTCCAGCTTTTGAATAAAATGTTCATCTTTCAGAGGAGTACTTGATAGAAATCCTTAAATGGACTTTGCCCACATTCTGGTCTCAGAAGGCTGATAGAAGCTTCTGTTAATTTCCAGCCAGTTGTACTTTCTCTGGAGCCAAGATTATATACCTAACATTGAATCACAGCTATGACTGGAGGTGGAAGGTTGCTTACAGACACACGCGCGTGTGTGCATCCTCGTGGACGCGCAGTTTCCCCCGATGCTGTGACATCCGCATGGCTGATGAGAGGAGTTTGCAGCTGGCCTCATGCATGGTTGCAGGATTTTTTTGCCATGCCCCCTCAGGGGCACGAATTGCACCAGGGGAAGGCTGTTCCTTCCCTGATGTGTGCCTGACGGGGGCCTGAGACAAGAGGCAGCCCTGGCCGGGGATGAGTATACTGACCTATTTCAGTGGCAGGACTCCTGTTGGCTTCCCTGGAACAACCATTTTATTACAAGGGCGCTTTATACGTTCCACATGGAATCCTTGCAAGTGCCATCCAAGTGCAGAAACCTTGCAGAATGACTTCTATTTCCAGAAGATGCATGCTTTATATCCCTGCTTCATAAACAATTGCCAGTAGTATGGAGTTGTTACTCCAGGTGAGCCTTTTTCCTTCTCGCCCTTGGTTGTCTACTATGACTGGTAGCAGCTCGCAAAGAGTCTTATGACAGGGCCCTTCACACCTTGCACTGTTGGATCCCTTTGTTAATTGGAAATGCCAAGAACTCAGAGGCCTTCTGCAGGCAAAGCCAAACCGCTGTCTCTGAATGTACAGCCCCTGTTTTTTTGCACACACATGGCGTCCTGACGCAGACTGCTTTTTCCTCGCTGCCAGTGGCTGCAGGGAAAGAGTACCATGCAAAATCCTTCCCTGCCACTGAGATAGGCCGGAGTACTCACCGCTGCCAGGCTACTGAATGGAGGGCACAGCAGAGAGCAATTTGGCGGTGGGGTCAGGGCACCTATAGGGGGTGGGCAGAGTAAAGGCCTTGGGAGGGATGTGATGTACCCCTGCAGACGGGGACAATGAAAATCAGGGATGGAAGTTTGTCTTCCCCAAGTGCTGCCCACCCCCCTGCAGTATTCTAGCAGGGTCTCCTGCTAGAGGGAGCTGGAGGCCAAGAGGGCATGGTGAGCTCACGCACTTCTTGTGCATGTGTGTGCACATGCACTCTCATGTGCACACTGCCATTCGCATTTGGAAAACCCTGCACTGGTTACACCATCAAAGGGCAGTTTGAACTTCAGTGGGGCTAGACTCCTATGCTACCATCTCTGTCTGTTTCACGTGCAAGCATTTCATTTGTGCTCCCTTTCAGGTTGGCAAAATGATCAAAGAGGCTGCTGGCAGGAGCAATCTGAAGAGAGTCACCCTGGAACTCGGAGGGAAAAGCCCCAACATCATATTTGCAGATGCCGATTGTGAGTGGCCTATTTCTTTTGGATTTCTTTTCCATAAAAGCAGTTGTGTGCATCCCATTTTGCAAAGCTTAAACTTCAGGGAGCAACCGGGCTGGTGGAAAGCTGGAGAAATGCAAGGGATGCAGACACTACGGCAGTACTTACAGCTATGTAGCAAGCAGCTCGGATCAAGACACTCAGCGCAGGCCTGACTCTGGGTTTATTTCCTTTGCAGTGGACAGTGCTGTGGAATATGCTCACAATGGCCTGTTCTACCATCAGGGACAGTGCTGCATCGCTGGCTCTAGGATTTTTGTAGAGGAGAAGATCTATGATGAATTTGTGCGAAGGAGCGTGGAGAGAGCTAAGAAAAACGTGCTAGGCAATCCTCTGACGCCTGGAGTAAAACAAGGCCCTCAGGTAAGGGGCAGTAATGAGGCTCTGTGGGCGGGTTATGGCGGCTACAGGGGGACTCGGGAACAGTGCTTCTGGCTGCTGGGCTAAAGTTGTGCCTTGAGCCATCACAGGTCTTGCGAAAGTCCCAGGCCTTCTGGAGCCAGAAGTACTTTTTAGGTTCTTTGCCAGCTCTCCCCATCCGCCTGATTTCTGCCTATTCCTGCCCCTATGCAAAGGGGGCACTGAATCTCTTGCAGCCTGCGGGCCAAAGGGTGCATTCCAAGACTGGATGGGGCAGAACGCAAAACGGGCAGGGCTTAAATTCCAAAAATTCCAAGATTAAAGTACTTATTGCCAGTAACTAAGCCTTAGGAGAAGCATTACAGCTGGGTAGGAATGTGCAAAAGAGTATTGGGCATGGTCTCCAGACTTGTTGGACTGCAACTCCCATCATTCTTGCTGCAGTCACAGGCACTAGCAAGCTGCTTTGATGCCTGGCATTTGCCTTGAAGATGCTTCCTGCAAACTGGGCTGTTCATGTGGAGAGCCACCTTCAAACATTTTCCTCCAGGCATCACTGCCACACCAGGCAGCCCTGGCATTTTAAACCAGGCCTGGCAGAGTTGGAAATAAGGCCCCTGTCCTAATTGGTGCTATTAAAAAGCAGCCAAGATCAGAAACGTCTTGCTTTGCAGGGGTGGAAAACATTAAGCATTCTGACATAGTATCTGCAAGGAATCTCGCTTTTTGCACTAGAAATCCCAAGGGCAATAACCGCAGGTAGAGGATTCTGCAAATGGTAACCCTAGATTCTGCAATTTAATTAAATTCCCGAGCATCCTTGGATGAACAACCTACCAGTTCCTTTGGGGCAGGAAATACCCAAAGTGGTAATACCCTGCACATTTAACTTTGTGCCACTAATAAGCTTGTTAAAAATGTTTAAAATGCACTTGTTAACTGCTGTATGTAACTGCAGGATTGAAATCCATTTTCTACGTTCAGAAGTCTGTGTGACTTCTCTGGAGTAATTGGTGAAAGTGGCATTAATGCAAATAGAGAAGTTGTACTTTAAAATGTACCCCACTGAGTTAAAACACTTTAGGAGAAATGAATATAATTCTGAGTGAAGGGAATTTAAGGAAAGCCTTGGCCCAAGAGAATACAGACTTTATAAGGTAGTGCTGAAAGTTGGTGGTTTGTTTTTTCTTTGTCGTCGTCTTCTGTGTTTAAAATCCTAATTACTGAACTTCATGGGAGAAACTGGCAATGATCCAAAATTTCAAAGGCAAATTGTTGCTTCATCTCTTGCTGGCAAAGAGTTTGTTTCTGCTTTGTTAATCTTAAGGCCAAACAAGCCGCTGGGGAGTGACTTATCAGTGCAATATTTTCTGTTCAGATTGATAAGGAGCAGTATGATAGAATACTTGCACTAATTGAGACCGGGAAAAAAGAAGGAGCCAAACTGGAATGTGGAGGAGGCCCTTGGGGAGACAAAGGCTTCTTCATCCAGCCTACAGTTTTCTCTGATGTCACAGATGACATGCGTATCGCCAAAGAGGAGGTAAGCAATGCAGACTCTCTGCATTTTCACTAGATATTATGTTCCAATAGTTGCACAGGGAAGTGCATTTTTCCAATTAAATATGCAGATTAGCATTTGCATGGAATTCTTCCCAATCTAGGACTTTTAACCAAAAAAATATCTTTTTAAAAATGCATGCGTTAGTTTGCCTCAACTGAATGGTCAGAGGGCAGCATCAAACCATAATCTCAGGTCTTTGTTGCAGTCATTAACTGTATCATTTACCATTATGTAAAAGATTGTATTTTTCCTTTTAAAAGAAGTGCACAAGGTGGCTTACACAAATATAAGAACATGAAAAGAACAAATCATTAAAATACATTGAGTTAAGGACAGCTGCCAACACAACAACCAAAAACAAGCCATTAGTAAATCAAATATAGTAGCAACAGAGTCAAGTACTGCTTGAAAGCCCTATTTCTACATGCCCTAGTGGAACACAGATAGAACGGCAGGGAAGGGAGTGGCGCGGATGGGGCACTGCCATAGAGGAAGGTCTGAACTGCATTGCCACGAACTGCATTTCTAAAGCAATGACTTAGGCAACAGGGGTGCACCAGTGGATCTTAAAGGGGAAATCTGTATATCCAGAGGAGGAGGAGGCGGCACAGCTGGAAGCTTCTGTCCTTGCATTGTTGGATAAGCTCAGGAATATTGCAGCTTTCCTTGGCAGTTCCTAGATAGTTTTAGCAGAAAGTCACACCAGTCCAACAGCATGTGCTCCAGGTGTGCACATCCAAATTGAGAGCCAGGAGTCATTACATGCGACTCATTGGTTACAACTGCAGTAAGAAAAGGTTTAAAAACGGCTGAAGGAGGGAAACGAGCGTCAAACGGCAGCCAACTAGCAAGACAGGCCTTCCTGTTTCCTCCACCCCACATCTTCCCAACACACTTATACTTCCTGGAAGCTGTCCTTCCTGATCTGATCACCTACCCCCTCTTTCTTCCAAGGAAGTTTTAAGATGGACACAGAGATGGGCTTTTAAACAAAAATAATCAGACCTGGTGTACTGAATACATTTTATGGGTAACACCTGATTGTGTCTGCGTGCTTGTGGAACTCACTGCTTGCACAATGAGGGTTAATTCTGCACACTTTTGTCTCAGTTTCTAGTATCTTTGCACAAATAATACATTGGGAACATTTGTGCAAAGACACTAGTAACTGAAACAAAAGTGTGCAGAATTAATGAGCACATTTAGGAAAATTCACAGGAAAATATGTAGATATATTTATGCAAAACCCACTCCCAAAGCCTTGAATCTCATATGGACAAATAGTAAATGAACTTTCTGGTGGAAATCAAAGAACTCAAATGAACTCGAGTTTTCCTTATTTGTACATCCCTATTTCTAGTTGCTCCACCTCAAGCTCATGACTATAACAGAAGATTATTTGGCAAAAGGAGTCTTTAAGACTGCAATTCTAGTGCTCTTACTTAAAAAAAGTAAATCCCATTGTGCTTAAGAGAAGTACTTCTGAGTAAGCAAGCATTTGATTGTGCTGTAATCCTGCACACAGTTACCTGGGAGTCCCAAGGGGATACAGCAGAACATACTTCTGAGTAAGCATTCACAGGATTGTTCTGTAAAAAACATAGTTTCTGTACAGATATTTTAAGATAGAAGAACTGAGAACAGATTATCATAAGACAAGGCTTAGCAATCACAATACTTACTGAGGACCATAAATTGTGCAAGGTGGTAGTGATGACTAAGATAAATGCAATTTTTGAAAGACTGAATAACTTCATGGAAAATCTATACCTACCATTGCTGAAGGGCATTTGAAAGAGGAATTGCTGCTTATGATATGTACACTTATCCCATTTTCACCTCTGCTAGGTTCTGTAGATTTTTGTACTGCCTTGCTCACCTTCCAAACATATGTGAGCAGAGGTGACAGTGAGACGCAGACTCAGGCTAACACTCCAGTCTTTCAGGGGAGAGATGTTTCCCATATGTTCTTATTTACAGTAACCATGTAATTCCTTGAATTTGCTGAGTACAAAATAAAGTCCATATGGAAAATTCTATTACCAAAAGCTTTAGTAATAGCAGCATTGTGCTGTTTACTTGAGTGAAAATACTGAGGTTAGCTAATGACTTGATAATCATCAAAAAAGCTGAGTCTTGAAGCTATTGTTGTTGTAATAACAGTTCACACAAATAAAAAGATTCTTTCTGTTTGCTGTTGCTTTGGTTCCACACTTATGCAGCAACTTAAGGAAAATGAAAAAACACAAATTCCATAAAGGTTTATGAGAGGAAAACATGAAGTCTGTTTAATTTTTTAAATGGAAGCTTATGAAAATAAATAGTCTGTAGAAATAGTCTATATTTCCATGCTCATCATTAGCATGGATTCTAATAGTCTTTTTATGCCACCTGCTAGAGATTATTGCAGAAGCTTGTGGCAAGATACTCATGTTCAGCATTCTGTCAGGTTCAAGGCAGGATATGCATGCAAATCTTTAAAGAAAAAAGAATCCAGGTTTGCTGTTCATGCAGTTCCTGGAATAAACTATGCTTATGGTCTTGCTTGCCTGGAAAACCCCATCCTCTGACACAAATTTTACACCAGGCTTCCCAGCTCATAAAAAGCTAAGAGCATGTGGCCTTGTGAATATTGTTGGACTACAGCTCCCATCAGCCCAAACCACCAGAGCCAATAGTGAGGGATGGTACAAGTTGCAGGCCGCATATTCCCATCTCTGTCTTAAAAGCAGAAGATGAGCTATGCCATAGCATACATTTCCTTGCTTTGTATGAGCACTTTGCTGCTAGTTCTCAAACACCAATCGCTGTCCGAGCAAAACCAGAGGTTTCCATGGTTGGAGTGTAGCAGAGTGGAATCCCATCTCTGAAGGAGAGAGACATACCGCGTGCCTTTGGGCTTCAGCTTGATCCTATGAGCTGCTTCTTTAATGGGGCTGCATGCTGTTCGGTATGCAACCTGCGGGGAGGGGGGTGAATTTCGCAGGAACTCAGCTGCCATATACCGACTCAGACCTATTGGGCCACCTATTTCAATACTGTCTGCCAGGGGTATCTATTTTGGACTACAATGGCCATAATCTCTAACCACTGACCATGTTAGCTGGGGCTTATGGGACTTCTGGTCCAAAGGTTTTATGCAATATCGGTATATACCGACTGGAGCAGTTTTACAAGGTTTTTGATTGGGGTCTTTCCCAGCTGTACCTAGAGAAGGCAAGGCTTGGACCCAGCACTTTTTGCATAGTTATTAATATTATTGTATTTACTCCCTGCCTTTCTTCTTCTTGCAAAGAACCTAAGATGGCTTACAAAGTTCTCCTCCTTTCCATTTTATTTTCACAATAATAAACCTGTGAGGTAGATTGGGCTGGCATTCACTCAGTGAGTGGAGCCTAGACCCTGTGACTTGCAGGTCCAAGACCAACCCTCGGACTACTACACAGCCTAGCACTCTGCCCCTCAGGATATCAGGGGCATTTGCAATGGATTCAGATGAGCTGGGATTTCCATGAATCTGACCTGAGTGTTCTGCATCAGGCTGCCATCTCTTTAGTTTCACAGATTCTTGCAGATGATTATTTAAAAAAAAATAAAATTGGTGGGATTTGCACAAAATCTCATTTGTAGTCATGCACACTTATGCAAGTGGAAGAAACGTTCTCATATGTCCCTAGAAAGATAGAATTTCATCAGCCACCAGACAGTGGAACAAAAAAATGCCTAACAATCAAGTACAAACAAGGGATTTATCTGCCACCACCTTTTCCCACTTCTCTCCTCTTACAACTTTTCTTTTCCTGCCCTCCATGGGTTGACTGTGCCTGGTATTCTGCCATGCCATCTTCAGGCTGCTGTACAAGCTTTTCCGTAATTAATTTTGAAACTGACACATGCACTGTTTGCTGTTAATGCAGCTATGCCTTTATTTAATTTGTCAGGCAAATGGATTCAAACAAAGGCTGCTGTGTGGGGCATGGAAGTGGGAAAGGGTTTGTGCAGTGTGTGGGGCTCAGCCGGGCTACTGGAGTCCGGGGAGCTGAGCAAGCAGATCGGAGTCCGGGGAGCTGAGCCGAGGGGATCCGACAGATTCTTAACACATCCCTAATTGAAACGTCCCACATTTTGAACATAGGATTGTATACATGAGGACTTCAGCATTTCTTGGCAGCTTCCATTCTTCCATATTTCACCATCTAGTTCCCTATAGATGGCAGCATGCTTAGCATTTGAAACATATGTTTTCACACCAGCCATCAGTCATGTGCACGGCTTGGCTAAAGAAAGGAGGAAAACTTAATGAATGGGGGGAAAGAAAAGCAAGTGGCACACGAACTATGGTCTGTAGGAATGCCAGAAATCCAAACTCAAGTAAAATGATCGGAACACAAGTGAGTTACCTGCATAAGCTCAATCTGGTTTCAGTTTGTGCAGGAGAGAAGCATTTGGGAAGCTTCACAAATGTAATGAAAACTGGTCCAGTGCTGTGGCATACAGGAATCGTCGTATTTCTGTCAAGTGAGAGGACTGGAATTGAATTAAAAATGGAACTGGGACAGATGAACTTTCTGCATGCATTTATCATGTGCTTACTAGCTGTACATATTGGAAAGGTTCAGTAAGAATTACGGATCTCTGAGGAATTCAGTCTTCATGAGTTCTGATACAAACTGATTTAATCCACACCTTCCAAATGCATGGATTGGAACTTAGCTGTTCAACAAGTTTTGCATGCTCCTAAAGTGTTAAAAACACATGTTTTATAAAATGCATATTTTTAGAGAATACATGTTTAAAATGCCTTTTTTATTTGGATACTGATTATTTTAAAAAATAGATCAATACAGTAGAACATTGTGAGTGAGTGAATACAAAAGTGACTAGCTCAGAAATAGACCAATCTGTCTATCTCTGATTCCTATACAGCTTGCCTCCATCTTAACTCTTTATACATGTAATTATTTTGGAGGCAGTCTCCCTTTCATAGGCATCACAGAATTAAAGAGCTGGAAGGAGCCTGGTAGGCCATCTTGATCAACCCTCTGCTTGAAGTAGGAGGTCCAGAGCTAGAACTTTTCCAACTGGTGGCTGTCCAGCCTTCGTTTGAAGAACCTCAACAGGAGTGAACCCAACACCCACTGGGCAATCCTTTCCCTTGACAAACTGTTGTGTCTTTACAAGATGTCTCCAAATATTCAGCTGCAGTGTACCCATTTGTAATTTAAACCCACTGAGTTGAATCCAAGATCAGCCTTTCAGAAGAGAAAGGGCCCTTTCTGTACAGAAAAAGCTCCATTTGGGAAAGTCCCTCCATTGGCTTTTGAGATTCTCTATTGCACATCACAGTCCACCCCATTCAGTCTTATGACTCTCTGTAGCATTTCCAGAGGCTGCTGTGGGAAGGAGGGGTTGGGGAAACCTTCTTCCACCAGCACAGTTAATCCAGTTTAAATTTGGATTCACCCCAATACATCTTATCCTGGCTTCTGGAACAGCTGAGAGCAACTCCTTATTCTTTCTATGTGATTGCTCTTCAGATAGTTGAACAGTGCTATTATTCCCCCTTCCAGAACTTTTCTCCAGCTAAACGTTCCCACTTCCTCCCTCCTTCCCTTCCCTTCAAGGATTTGTTCTCCATACTACTGGCCGTCTTCCTTACCCTCTCCTAAAAGCAGTTGTGAAGATACATTTATTTGAATCTGGAATCTCCTTGCATTATGCTACTTTGAACCCCAGTTTTTGGGACCACAGAGATTCCCCTCAAACACGCACACTTGTTCAAATAAAGGTGGCTGGCATGTCTGAAATGGGCTTCTGTTTTCACCACCTGTAGAACTGTCAAGGAAGAATTCATACCTAAACAAGACTCTGTGCCAACCACAGAAACCACAGCAATGTACCTTGGCCAAAGGCCACTGAATTCATCACACCTGGGAATATTGCCTTGCAACTTATGTAACAGGAAAAGTATACTTTGGGAAGCAACACCTTCCAAATAATGCACTAGGCTAAATATGTTGCTGCTGTTCTGCACTGATTTTCTCTTGACAGATGATTAATAGTTTCTTTTGATCTGCAACAGATATTTGGGCCAGTCCAGCAGATCATGAAGTTCAAAACTATAGATGAAGTGATTAAGAGAGCAAACAATACCCACTATGGCTTAGCTGCGGCAGTGTTCACCAAAGATATTGATAAGGCTCTGACATTTGCTGCTGCCCTTCAAGCTGGAACTGTCTGGTATGTGTTCTTGGTGGTGCTCTTTAAGCCTAACTAGCTGCAGAGGTTTTGCTGGGCCTTAGCCCCAGATCTATTTCCCAGGGCCCTGAGAGACCACTAACTCCAGTGCAAGATTGTTTTCTTGGCTTAATTGCCATGCAGGGGATAATTTCAAGGTGCTTTGCAGGGAAGGGTTAATCCTCCTTTCCACACATGCTGGAATACTGCCAAACCCTTTGTAGGGCAATTTGTTTTACTTTTAAAACCTTCCATCAGTGCCAAATGGGAGAGTTTTTTTTCCTGCACTCATGGAAGAAATTTCCAAGGGATTCTAGTTGGAAAAGCTTAGCTCTCCAAAGTGCATGCTTTGCCGCCTTCATTGCTCACATGGCAAATAAATGGGGGCGGGGGAGGATTTGTTCTTAATTGCATGGGGGGAGCAATCTTCCTCTAGAAGAGAAAGAAAGAAAAATTGAGGATGGGGAAGAAAAAGAAGTTACAGGGAGAAAAGAGTGAGACCTTGCGAATTAATGTTATTCTCTTAATGTTAAGAGAAACTACTGTTTTGGAGCATTGATTGAATCATTTTATGTGCAGTACTTTGGATAAGAAATTATTCCAAGCAGTAAGGGGGATAGGGGTTTCCCTCTCCCAATTATGTCCCCCTGAATACTCGGTGGTACACCAAGATCGCCTGGTGAGCTGAGGAGGGGAGGTAGCCATCAGCCATAGGTATTCTCTCATCACCCCCCCCCGCCCCCTAGGCTCCCTGTCCACTCAAGTGCAGGTCTTGAGAGTTTGTACCTTTTGCTGGGCAACTGGGATGGATGGATGGATGGATGGATGGATGGATGGATGGATTTATTAAAAGTTTTTATATTGGAAATCCTGCTGGTGCACTGCCCACCCTACTACCCAGCAGACTCCCTGCGTGAGCCAAATGAGACCATCTTGGACCTGGTGTTGAGGAGTCCCAGGATGCTGGTCTTGGGAGACTTCAATATTCATGCCAAGGTGGGCTTTTCTGGGGCAGCTCAGGATTTGAAATGTGGTATCAAATCATCCTAAAAGCCATACTGATCATACTGCAGAATCCTCTGAAGAAACTCATTTGGCCTTTACTACCTAGAAATCCTGTCCACGAATTAATCACTTCTCCTTTCTCTTCAGGGTTAACTGCTACAGTGCAATGTCTGCCCAGTGTCCTTTTGGAGGTTTCAAAATGTCAGGAAATGGCAGAGAGCTGTAAGTAAAGGCAATGAGAATTTGTTTCACAGCTAGATGTTGGCCTTTATCTGTACAAAACCAACAGGAATTTTAGGAGTAACTTCATACAATCAACTTTAACAGCAAAACATCAATTCCAGCTTTCTGGTATTTGGATGTAGGTCTTCATGCTCTCTGAATTTCAATAGTTTCACCTGGCTTACAAGTAACTGTGCAGGGAAGAAATGCAAGGAAAGGTCATCCCATGTACAAATTGGTTGCATAACTGCATTCTTTGTTACTATTACTAGCTTTTCTAAACCATTCTACAGCAAAAAAAATCTCAGAATATGTTGCTTAGAATCATTTTTTTCACTGGATTTGATTACAATTCTCTCTCCAAACATTGGCACTGTTGGAGAAACTTCAGTGGTTTTTTTTTCTTTTTTCCTTTTTTTTTTAACTACTAACATTTAATAGCGAGAAAGAAAATGGCATGCACTAGCTTCCCATTGGAAACAACTAGGGAAAGTGTATACAATCTTACGTCATTATAGCCACATTCCAAAAACGCAAACAATTGGTTCCACATGTGCAAAGGAACGGCCCTTTTTAAACAACCCCCACTCTCTGCACACACTATCACATGACAAACCACATTTAAAACTTTCTTGAAGCAGTTTGCTGATACTGGCATACCTTTCAGAGTAAAAAAGTCAGCAATCCCATGTGGTACAAACACTTGGATTCCAGGCTGTGACCTTGTTCACACCTACAGTGCTTAGTGGAAGTGCTTACCATGCTTTGAATTTTCTACATTTTGTAGAAAATTACAGTCTGGCACTGAAATAGATTGAATTGGCATGGTTACCATTTGACGTATGCAAAGCACTCAGTGCAGCAGCCAGATTAGTAACTGGTGCAAATACATAAAACCAGTTCTTACCCACTTGCATTGGCTACCTGAGTACTTCCTGGTCCAATTCCAGGTGCTGGTTTTAGCCTATAAACCCTTACAAGACCTGTCAGAGTGCCTCTCCCAGCTGCAATATCCTCATGCTCTTAAGTGCCAGCTCCAACAGAGGCTGGAGGGTGGCATCAATGGTGAGGGCCTTCTCTGTGGTGTCCCCACCTCCCATCTGTGGAACAACTTTCCCACTGCAGCCCACCTGGCAGCAGCTTTGGAACTTTTTCTGTGCCAGGTTAAGACCGCCCTTTATGCCAGGGCTTTGAAGATATACTTGCTATCCTGGGGCTTGAGGATATTACCCATTCCAGGTCTTTCTTTTACAGGGTCATTCTTTACTATATGTTAAAACAGCTTTTTTAAAATGTTTCTTTGATAAGATTTTATAGTAATTTTATTGTATTTTATTGTCTTATTTTAATGTACTGTTGTAAATTCCCAGAGGACTTTGGCTACAGGGCAGTATAGAAATTAAATGTAGTAATACTGCAAAGATGCAAAATATTCAGAATTGAGGCACAAAAGTTATGTAAAGAAAACCAGACTGGTACTTGTTGATTGTATACATCGTTCCCTGAGCCAGTGCTTCAGAGAAGCACCTCTGGCCGCAATTACAGCAGCAAGGCTTCCATCAGCTTTGAACATCTGGGTCCTGCGATGTTCACCCGTTCTTCCCGGCAAGGCTGCTCTAGCTCTGTCAGGTTGCACGGGGACCATTGGTGAACAGCAACTTTCAGGTCTTGCCACAAATGCTCTGTTGGACTTTGACTGAGGTACGGCACTGGCTGGGCCGTTCCAAGGCATCCAGGTTCTTTTTTCAAATGGCTTTATGATTAGGGTCATTGTCCTGCCTGGCCCAGGCCCATTGCAGCCTGAAGTCAGTTTTCCCATCTGTCCCTCTGTCCTGACCCATTTCCTAGTCCTTTTTGAGAAAAAGCATCCCCACAACATGAAGCTGCCACCACACATTTCACGCTTCCATGCTGTTCCCAGGGCAATGAGCACAGCTGGCTTTGCAGCAAGGCTCTGAAGCTCCATTTTGGTCTCATCAGCACAGAGCACTTCTTCTCGTGTGTTTGCTCTGTCTCCCCCATGCCTTCTTGCAAACTCCAAGCAAGTGTTGAGATGCTGTGGCTTTCAGCAATGGCTTTCCTCTCTGCACTCTTCCATAAACTCCATCTTTATGGAGCATTCAGGTGATAGGGGCCCATGGGCAGTTTTTTCCTCTCTTCACTGCAGATCTCCCCAACTCCTTCGGAGTTTCCATCAGTCTCTTGGTTGCTTCTCTGATTAATGCCCTCCTTACTACAGAATTTTGGTGGGCAGCCTTCTCTAGGCAGAGTTGTGGTTCAGCTCTGTTGTGATGATGCATTTAATGGTGTTCCGGGTATGTCCATAGTTCAGGGTTTTTTATAGTGCAACCCTGAGAGCTGTTTGATAACTGCTTGATCTTCATGATGCTGTTGGTTTAGATTTGCTGTGGAACTACTCTGGGGCCTTCCAGAAGCATTGTGTGGCCCTAAAATTGCACACAGGTGAACTCCATTCAGCTACCTAAGCTGACTTCTGGAGGCCCTGGGTTGCATGAGAACTTACCTAGGTATGTCACAGCAAAGGGATGAAGACTTTTGCAACCAACAAGTGCTGGTTTGTTTTTGTTTCCTTAACTTGTATGCCACAACAAAAGTATGTTTCACCGTCACACTGTTGAACATATTGTGTACATTGGCTCGTAACAATGCCAATTAAATCTATTTCATTTGTTGTCACACAACAAAATATAGAAAAGTCAGAACAGGGTGAATATTTTTGCAAGGCATTATAATGTTAATCCATAGTTTATTTAATCCTTGACCTACCCTGGCTGTTATGCCGTAGTCAAGATTTATCTGGAAGACAGTTGAACAAACTATTCTTTGTGTTCTCAAGTCCAGGGTTGCTTGCTTCCTTCTTTATTTACCCACTTCTTCCCTGTATCCCTGAATCTTTGCAGTTCTATAGTCCTGGCATAAAGAGTGGCTGGGGAGATTTTGCTTGCTTGTTTGCTTAGTTTTTATTCTCTAGCAATCTTGCCAGCCACCTGTGACACCTAGTGAAACAACCCATGAACAGCCAGAGCTTCTGAGTTCATACGTAATGATAACCTATTGTTTAAACAGCACAGAATTCACAACCTAACAACAAAACCTTTATGAGTTGTTTAACAAACTATATATGTTAGTATAGTTGCATTTGTACATTCCAAAATTTAACAGCCCATATATTAAATGAATCCTGTATAGCATTAGGTGTGAACCAAGGCCCTATGTTTGCAAATGCAGCTGCTATAACAAATACGTGTGAGCATTGCACACATACTGGTTGCTGCTAGTGCATTGTAAGTTGCCAAACGCTAACAGATCCTTCACTAAAGAAGTTTAATAGCCTTAGAATTCAAGTTCTACATGTGCCTAGTTCTTGGCACCTAGTTGCCAAAAAAGCTGCCCGGCCTATCTTTGTCATCGCCACAAGTAATCTATATACAAGCTTGATATCTAAGATTATTCAGGTGAAGTACGGCATCTGAACATATGGAAATGCACTATCCGACAACATGAACAACACGAGTATAAACTTGCTAGATCACATGTTTATAAAAAGTTATGTTAAGGCTTTGTTAGGACTATGTTAAGACTATTCTTACAGTTTCTTTCTTTTTAGGGGAGAGTATGGCCTTCATGAGTATACAGAAGTCAAGACAGTCACAATCAAAATTCCACAGAAGAATTCATAATGTCACTTCAGAATGTGATAAAGTCAAATATTAAGCAAAATTGCAAAGTTCAGCTATGTTGCAAACTGTTTTGTAGCAGAAGTTCTCATTTATTTTTCCTTTCTTTCTGTAAAAACAAATACTTTTAACAAATATTAACTGTCACTTAGAAAAACTTTAATGTCTTTAATTGAGAAAGGGAAATCTTAATGTGAGGACCGAATTAAAATATTGCCCTCTATTTTAATAAATTTGTAGTGCTGTAGAAAATACATATTGACACTGTCTGGTTTAGTGTGCTATTGTGGAGTTTTAATCTGTTTTCCTTCCCTTGTTACAAGCTTGGCAAAAGCACATGCGGCTATCCAATATGTATTTCATTATCAGGGAAAATCATTAGCTACTTTCTGTTATATGTTGTAGCTTTGAATCTGTTCATTTTAACTTCTGTACAGAGGTATTCTGGATGTAAACTTTATTAAAACCTACTGTTTTAACAGTTACTCATTCAATTGTCTGTTTTCATTTGTAGACTAGAATTGTAGAACTTCTAATATTTGCCAGTCAGCATGTATATTCAAGGTCTTAAAAGCAGGATATAGACCCATATTACTTGTTACACATAGAATCATAGAAAGGTAGAGTTGGAAGGGGCCAAGAAGGCCATTGGGTCCAACCCCCTGCTGTTGCAGAACACCAATTTACACCATCCCATTCAGAAGAATGTCAAACCAACAGACATTCAACTCCCCCTGCTTGTATACTCAGAAGTAAGCTCCACTATGTTCTCCTGAACTTTCCTGCTCCACACACAAGTGTGCACTGGGCTACACCTACTTTTCTAAGTTTAAAGCTACATTATAAAAGCAACACAAAAAACCAGCAAGTTCTTTATCACTTGGTAGACGTTTCATCTACTTTTCTACATAGACTATATGTTTTCCAGGTTTTCCTAGATGAAGGGAGCAATAATTTTTAATTAAATCAAGGAGTAAGAAAGCTGCTTTGATGGCTCCAGGAATATAAATCTGCAGAACATTTTCATGCGCCAATAAATATTTAGGGAGAAAAAAATGCTGCTCGGATATAAATACAATTCTGACCATAGTGGGGGAAACCGTGACCAGGTAACTCGTGTGTCTGCTCACTTGGCTGGTATCCAGGTAACTGTGAATGAACATCTCCAAGGCCCCTGACAAAAGGTCTCTCTCTTTCGTCTCAAAATAGATTTTGGACAGCACACCTATTCAAATAGAGAACTACCCTCTGTGACGTAGGACAGATGGCCACCCCATATGAGGGTAGGAATGGATGAAGTAGGGCTGCCCTAACTAAAGGTTTCCCTACAGAAGGCTTTTAACCAAAGTTAACTGGTCACTTTACCAAGGTTTCTGCATCTAGATTCTTTGCAGGAGTGAGATCAGCTTCTTTATATACAGGATTTTGCTCTCTCTATCGTCCAGTATGTTCCATTACATATCCATAAGGTGGCACTGCAGTGGAGCAAGACTGTGAAAATACACAATCATTTGGTGGTATTTTGTAGCATGCTAGCCCTGTAGTAGCTCTTTAACAAGCCAAGGAAATGCTCAAAAAGCTTGGTAGAGACCCTGGAAGATGATGATCTTGGGTAAAACATCCCCAGACTGGATGAGGAATCTTGAGCACGAAATAACAAATCACAAGTACTGCAACTCTAAGCACACAAAGCAAGATTCCAAATGAGAAATGCAGAGTAAAATGGAAGTATGAAAAGATGTAGAACATAGAAGGGTTAAATTCTGCGAGGAGGTGACCATTGTTTGTGGCTGCATTGTGCAATGCTGTAAGTGAGCAGTTCTGAGTTCCAGAAAGATTGGAGGTGGGGCGGGGGGGGGGGGCAGACAGATTCGGAAACCTGCCCAGTGATGAAAGAGCTAATTTAACATTGGATATTAATCCCCCCAAACAGATGCATACACCTATTTTCTAACCTAAAGAGCAATTCAGCCCACATATTTCTTCTCTGGAGCCAAGCCCAGTTCTGAATTAATCTGATGTGCTCAATTTGTCCATGGGTCCTGCCAAAGCAAAGAGATACACCTTTTGTCAATTCAGGCCGGCCTAAGACTGAACATGTCTCTGTTTGCTCAAAACCTTTTGCGATATGCTTGAAGCAGAAAACCAGTGACTTGGCAGGTACAGCAAGAGCAACCAGAAGATTTTCTTAAAACAACCAGCAGTCTTTTCCCAAGACGATAGTGTCCGATCCAGCTTCTTTTGCACCAGCGGGGAGCCTCAGAATGCCCCCACCAGCAGAAAAAGGGGGAATCGATTTTTGCCAATTTCCCACTCACTCGGTCACTTCCAGCTTAATTTCGCCCCCTGTTCCACACACTCCAGAACAGATTTTAGGAGCAAGAGGGGTGTGTGGAGGGAAGGGGAATCAACGTCCTTCCCTATTCAGCAGCAGAAGTCCTCTCCTGGTTCAGAAGCCTTCCATAGGTGGTAGGACCCCTTCTAGCTATGCTGAATGCAAGACATAAGCTCAACGTTGCACCTACCTGCCCCCAAACTGTGGTTTGAGAAAAGGCTGAGCAAAATCTCAAAAAAAATAAAAATAAAAGCAACTTATCACGCACTGGTTCTTCTGGCATTCTGGCCATCTGAGAAAAAATGCTTACAACTTCAAATGCATGGCATTGATGGCTCTCAGATGGAAGAGGAATACCTGGTGGTCACGCAGTGTGCTATTTGTGGCTACTTTTCAGCTTGTGCAATCTGAGGATATGGACTAGATGCTTGGCGAGAATTGACCTACTCAGTGCTCTTCCATCCCTTGGCCATTTGCACTGCTCGGAACTGCTAAGAGAAAGGCTAGTGGCCTGGAGAGCAGGGAGCGGCAGTGTCCCCTTGAGGGAAGTACGGCTCTGCAACTCTTGAGAGACAGTGTCTGTGATACCTTCCTGAGCCTGGGATGGGTTTTGGAGGCATCATTTCATAATGGCTTCAGTCATTCCTGGGGAAAGGCCTGAGAAGGTGGGGTGAGAAGACTACAGGTTTACACCATGTCTTAAAGGGTGCCACACACATACATCTCATAGCCAGATTATTTACCATCTACACGATATTGCTTGGGAAATTCATCTGCTGGACTGGGATGCCATCAGTGCAGAAGTGTTTGGACTTTCTCCTGCTCAGATCTTCACTGCTTGGGGCCTCTTTCCTCTCCCCTCTCCTGTCAATGGCCCTGCTGGATGGGAATTCTGGGGGTTGTGGTCCAAATGCCTCTGAAGACCACCAGGTTGGGGAAGGCTGGTTGAAATCTTTAAGGGCCTATCCATGGTTCTAGACCATGTTTTCAGCGCTGTGGACAGCTCCTTTAAAATGTCAGGTCAGTGTCATCCCATTGACATCGGAGCCACCAGCCGCTTCTGAATGTAAGTAATTTGTGCCACTGTGGAGAGAACTTGTTAGTGATATTAATACAGAGGGATGGCTGCAGTCAGACTTTGTCAAGAAATGCAGAGAGGAGGCTAATTTTCTTAGCAGGTTTTGGTGGTGCAATGATGAGAAATGCACCTGCCTGCTGCAAAGCTGAGAGAAGCAGGACAGAGCTATCAGAGGGGCAGGGTTGGGGGTGGATGGGGAAATGCCCACACAGGAGAAAGTATAACGTAGTGAAGCAAAACTGAATAGCTCTAAGACAGAATATTAACCAGAATATGGCCAGAAAAGCAGCACTTGACAGCTGGCGTTGAAAGTTCATGGATACACCCTGATCAAAACGATCACTCAGCCATGAAGTAGGAGTTTCCTGATGAAATCTCAAGCAGGCTGTGAGCAGTCTGAAAGCAAGCCACTGCAGCCAGGCACTATCCGAAGGAATGCGGTAATTGGCAGGTGCATTGGGCTGCACCTCTCTTTGCCACGCCACCTCTTTCTGAGTGGACGGAAGCTAACAAAACTGCAGCTGAAGCACACCATAATGCTCAGTCAGCCGGCCAGTCTGTTCATCCTTCCACAGGAGACCTCAGTGTTCAGTTACAGCTCAGTGGCTCAAGCTTGGCAATGAACCTGACAAAGGACATGGGCATTTTCAGCAAGTGTTCACACCCGAGCACCACCAGTAGACATCTGCAGGAAATTGGACGGCTCTGGTTTGCCTCTGGCCAGGGATGGATTGAGTACGTTGCCTTGGGCAGTGCAGGTGGGAATCAGGAGCGGCTCGTCCTACTGGACTGCCCAGGGAAGGGCCACGGCTGAGTGGGTGAACAGCTGCTTTGCCTTTGGAAGTCCCCTCTGGCATCTCTAGGAAGGGCAGGAAAACGTCCTGGCGGAGACCTAGGAGAGCTGTTGCCAGTCAGTGTTGACAATACTACCCTAGAAGGACCACATAATCAGGCCGTTTCCTGTGTTCCCATTCCTCCAGCAGCAGCTGCGGCATGCCCTCTTCGTCTCGCTCCCACAGGCGCAGTCCAGTTGGACTGTGTGCATTTGTTGTTCAGTGGGGCCAGGTCGGTTTTTCCACCTGAGACAAAACAACCAGTGGTGACCCATCTCTGCCCCCACCCCAGCTAAGTCATGGTGCCTGCAGCAGAGCACCCAAGGCCGGTCACGTAAGGGCAGTCAAGGCCTGCTGGACCAGAAAAAAATATTTATTCAATATTTATTTAATCGGTGTACAGACCACTTGCCTATATTCAGAGAGACATCTCAGAATGGTTTATGGCATGACACTTTAATATACAAAACTTGTAAAATGGAAAACACGCTTGTAAAGTATCTCGGTTCAAAACACTGAAAACGAAAGATAAAAACCTCTGTTATTAATGCACTAAAAGCAGAAAGCTGACCATCAAATTGGGCAGGAGAGGCCTTTGACTGATGCCTGGAGCACGCCATAATTGGCACCCACTGCAAAGCTGGTGTCCCCACAAAGAAAGTGCACTTCCTGAGTGCAGCTAAAGGGTGACGTGCAGGTTGCAACGTGGCTAGCGGCCATGGGGCAGTCCGAGTGCCGTCCGAGTGTCCCCACCCTCTGTGCCCAGAGGCTTCCACCCGCAGAGGCTCGCCTGCATCCAATGCACAGGAAAAGGGAAGGCAACAACCATCAACACTGCTCCTGCCTGCTGCTCCACCACCATCAAACCTTGCATTTTATCTAAGACAGGCATTTTGGCCTTCTAGTGGAGAAAGAAGGGTGCTGGGGCACTGTTTGGAGGCAACGTATGTTGCTGGCCCTAGCCTTGTCCCTCCCCACGCCTCGCCACCCTCTTGTCTTCCTCTGTGGGGCAGAGTAGCAACCTCAGAGAGGTAGCCAGCCTGGGTCTTTCCATGCCAGCAGTGGGGGGAGCAGGGCCCAGGAGTTGCAGCACCAAGGTTGTAGGACCATGGAGCTCAGGCTCCAAAGACTCTGATGCTCCCACAGTAATCTTGGGGACCCATAAAAGTGCACCCTGGAGAACGAATGGAGGCCCTCCAAATCAGCTACCTGGCAGAACTGCCTCCCTCACCTAATTGT